ATCAAGTATGAGAGCGGCACAGGCCCTCGCCAGCTTGGGAAGGCCTTCACCTTGCAGTGGGCAGATAACGGTTGAGAATGATAATGATGATGACTTCTGCACTCAGGCGTGTGGTCCGAACAGAATAGACTTAAAGTAAGGTTTTTCGTGATTCTTGAATAATTGTTGTCGGGACAGACAGACAGACGGATAGATAGCACTATACAGAGGTCGAGCGTGTGGCACAGGTTAAATGTCCTGGGTTCCCTCAAGACAACGACGGGGGTGCGTCTGCTCAACAGACATAAGAGCAGAATAACAATGGCAAAGAAGCGCACACTGGGTGAGGTGCCCATCTGGAAAGATAGAGGCGTCAGCAGGAAAGTCATACTCCATATAGTAGTGCCCTCATCTGGCATGTCCTGAACTATATATACGAGCTGCAGAGAAACGCGCTCTTAGGGCTGTTAAAATGTGGGTCTATCGCAGGATTCTCCGCTTTACCGGGAGAGACAAACGGACCATGACAGCATCCTCTAGGAGCTCAGCACCACAAGAACCCTGCTCGCCAATATGAAAACCACGAACAGCTTCTTTGGCCACGCGCGAAGAGGACAGGTGGTTTGGCTTGGGACATAATTGCTGGATACCATCCAGGAAGAGGCGGAGAGGCCGGCTTGGCGACAGTATATAGCTGACATCCGCAACTGGACAGGTCTGTCGCTTGGGGCTGCAGCCCGATCGGGCAAGGAGAAAACATCTCGGAGGAATCTGGTGCGGGGTTGGCTGCCAGAGATGGGTAGGCTAATCTCCGTTAGCGGAGGCATACAGAGATCAAGGATGAGAGCGGCACGGCCCTCGCCAGCTTGGGAAGGGCCCTTCACCTTGCAGTGGGCAGATAACGGTTGAGAATGATAATGATGATGACTTCTGCACTCAGGCGTGTGGTCCGAACAGAATAGACTTAAAAGTAAGGTTTTTCGTGATTCTTGAATAATTGTGTGTCTTTATTTTTTTGGTCGGTATCCAAAAAGGTCCAACGTGAGGGTGTCTCTGGACTGCGGTATTTTGAAAGCTGTTTACAGAAAAGGCATCAGAGGTGAGTGAATGTACGGACATGCAATTTGTCGCTCACCCGGTTTGCATTTTGATTTTAGTCACACACTGACCCACATATCGTCCTTTTTATATATTGTCTTCGGATGTTTCATTTCATATTATGCGTTGTTTTTGTGGCCCCTACACTTACACTTACACTTATAAAGTGTCGTCTTTTGTGATTATTTGTTTTATTTTGTATTTCGTAGCTTTCATACATTTTTGTTTAGTTTTTGTTTTTCATACCGTGTTTGTTCATTGTGTATTGTTTTGGTCGAATAAATCATAAAAATAATAATAATAATAATATCCAGTCCAGTCCCAAGGCCTTTCACAAGCTGTTGAAATGACCTCTGACTAATGCATTCTTTTGTTATTAGTCATCCTCTACTACGTATGACCAGATTTTTAAAATGTATATGTGATTTTTTTGTGAATGGACTTGTAGTGTACTGAACTTGAATAGAACACTGCATGGGTGCGCCTTTTTGTGAGAAAACCCCCGTAGTACAGGGCAACCATCTTTTTTTCTGGACCCCCCCCCCTCCAAAAAAAGGCTCAATGTGACGCGACATGGTGCCCTAATTAATAGCTGCCTTTTCTTTTGTTTGTGCTGAGGAACCATCGCAGTTAAGGGTATTGCTTAGGGATGCAAAATCCATGATCACTTGTAAATCTACTTTATTAATGCTGAAAATGGATAGAACAAAATAGGGTGTAGGGAATTTCTAGAAATGCTTGAATTTTAAGTTCTAGCCTATTTTAAATAGGCTAGAAGGATGTTCTGGCAATATTTAACACCGTCCACATTGAAACACAAAATATCAAAAAAAACAATGTGCCCAACCTAAAAATTGATTGAAATTTTCATTACAAATTGCTGAGTCATGTACCCCCGAAACCCCACTTAGACCAAAAAGTAATACCTATGGCGATTTTAGAGACATTTTTACATTTTACCTTCCGGTCTATCGATGCGCATGTGTGCAAGAGTTTGAATTTGTTAGGAAACTGGTCTATTTCGAAGTCCCATACAAGGGCGGATCCAGAACAACTTTTTTTGGGAGGGGCAGGAAATCTTCTTCACCCAAAAACTGGGTCCAAAATTTTACGGCGTGGGTTTCGGTGCCCGCTTAAGGGCCCCGATTTTTTTAGGGGGGATTTTAGACGCTCTGTGTGTACTTTGTCCAATTTATTTTCGAGCAAAACGTGGTGGTGTACGCAGTGGATGCCTTTTTACGACTGCGCTTTAAAAAAATATGAGCACTTTTTTGGAGAAGGGGGGGGGGGGGCAGGGAGCATGACCTCCGCCCCCCACGCCGTAATTGTTTGGACCCACTTTTTGGGGACCAAAATTTTTTTGGCCCCCCAAAAAATTGTGTTCTGGATCCGCCCTTGGTCAGTCGGTCGGTCGGTTGGCTGGCTCCTCAAATCCAGGAAATGCAAATAACATGTACAGTTTGAGTAAAAAAAAAGCGGAACGCCAGCCCCCAAAAACATATTTTATATTTTAAAAAGTATGTAGCACCGAAACTAATAATGACTGTAAAGCTAATTTCATAGAAGGCAATTTTAGATTTAAAAAAGTACTGAAATTGCTCGAACCTTTCAAAGAATATTACCATTTAAATACGGTGATCCTAAAACTTAAAATGCGATTTCAAGAATAGTCGTCACAATTGTCTTCAAACATCCTCAGCGATAAAACCTTAATTTAAAACTCAAAAATATTAAACAAAGCTCTTTTGAAGGCCCGTCTTCTTTGTTTTATTTTAAAGTGGATTGTAGAAGTGATATTGTTTGCCTAAGCAGGGTTGTTAGTAAAGATATTGTGTACTAAAGTTGTTGACAGTTGTTAAAACAGGTATTCCGTGTCATTATCTTTGTTGTTCCAAACAGGACACAATATATTGCTCTCTCTTTTTGGACGAAACGCTTTTTAGGGTCATTGCGTTTAAATGGTGATATAGGCCTATTCTACGAACGGATTATGCAATTTCATAATTTTTTTTGGGGGGGGGTTTGGATTCCGCTTTTTTTGACTCACCCTGCATAAGCCAGAGTTGTAATGAGTCACTGATTTTAGTGACTCGAGTCGAGTTGAGTCATTTTAAAGAAGTGACTCGAGTCGAGTCAAGTCATTAGGTCAAGACGGTCGAATTGAGTCGAGTCGAGTCACAGTGTGTGGACGAGTCGAGTCGAGTCGAGTCGAGTCAAGTATTTAGCTCTAGTTAATTCGAGTCACAGATATTTGAGCACTATACAATCAATAAACACAAGAGTGAAAGTCATTTTTTTTAGCCTTTTAAATTTTACATTCGGGCTACTGCTAAGGGGGTGCCAGCTGATCGTCATTCAACTAATGGGGACACTGATCAAACCACGTATGTAATATGTATACATTATTCGCGAACATTCTAACGTGACGTGAAAAAAACCGGCACCGGCGTAAGTCATTGCAAATATTTTTCGCAAAGTTTTGCTTATGTTTTTGGGATTCGAGTCTCAATAGCCTTCCTCGAGTCGAGTCATTCTGATGAGGGACTCAGTCGAGTCGAGTCATTTGCCCTTAGGGACTCGAGTCACCAAAAATTGTGACTTGAGTCGGACTCGAGTCGAGTCATTACAACTCTGGCATAACCCCAATCAACCACTTGTTCTTTGCAGTGGACAAGGCCAATTTTATGGTTGGGAGTTACAGACCCAAAACGGAGGAGCACATCTTCCAGAGTCCCGTGGATGAGTTACCCGCGGGTTTGTTAGGCCGTGGTGACTATATTGTCAAGAGTAAATTCACAGACGATGACAAGAATATCTACTTGGAGTGGGAGTGGAGTTTCTCCGTTAAGAGAGATTGGGAATAAGATTATAGTGATGATTTCCTACAAAGGAAATTGGTCTACTGGAAGTGCGGTTTACTTGTAGATGATGCTGTTGGTGTTTGAAGGGGTACATCATGAATGTGAAATTCTTAATTAAATTTATGTTATCATGGTTCAGCAAGTATAGGGATTATGTTAGTTAAATGTATGCCACAACATATACAATGAATATGTAATTGATTTTTTTCCCAAAGTGGCACTTTTTTTTTGAAGGAATTAATTGTGGCATTAGTCATCAGCATTGCCAATGATGACTTTTTTTTAGTCTCTCAGAAAAAGGAACTGCATGTTTCCCCCCCCCAAAAAAAATGTGTACATGTATATGGATGCCATCATCTATGTACAGAACAAAACAAATGACGTATACTTGTTTTGTATGAACATTGCCTTTTCTCATTTTATCAGAGCAACTTGTACAACTCTTTCATTTTGTGGAAGTCTATAAAACAACGCATTTATTAGGAAATACATTTTGATGATGCTATTTGTTGTAATCGCTTATTAAGTTACTTTTGGGAATAAATGATACATGTTAGTTGTATAGCAGGCTTTATTTTATCTTTGCAGCCTGCCTCAGGCTGTAATTAGACTATTTTGCCATAGATATAGATATTTTCTGTTGTTATATTTTAATTATTAAAGGTTTGGTTTAATATATGGTTTTGCTTTAGGTGCATAATATGATGTTATATTTCCGCAATGATGTATGGCTTGTTTGCCATAGTAGTGATCTGGTGTCTTCTATGTTGTCATCTAATTCATGGAGATTTTGACCAAGCGCTTTGGGAACCTGGTAACATAAAGCCACCAGTATTACAACAGTTGCATGCCTACCACCCGGCAAGCTTTTTTTGTCAGCACTAGAATGTAGTTTCTTTAATGAAAGCATGGAATACATTACCTCATCAAATAACGATCAGCCCATGTTGGCATAAATATCAAGATGAGGGCAACAAACGAGGACCAAAATGACACGTTATTTGAAAGCATCTGTGTACTTTAACAATGTAGTAGTTTCCATTTTGGATTGGCGAAGCCCCCTATACCTTGGAAGTGGGCCAGAGGCATGCGTATTGATTTTCCTGAAGCCCTTTCAAAGAAGTCTGTTAATGGTCATTGTCTATAAGCCATTTGCATTCTGCACACAAATGGTAATGTTATATATTTCACTAGGTTAGTTTTGAATCAATATCAGGTACAATGTAGAATCATTCCACATTGATACTTTGTCTACCATGTCTATATAGAAAGTAATCTTGATTCTATATAGTTTACCATACTCAGGAACTAGTCGGTTAGGGTCGGTAGTGAGTAGCAAATGAGTAGCACTTCAACTTTCATGGGTGTTTTGTTTGGTTTGTTTAAAGAAACCTCGTGCTTCCCGTCATTGAACTTTAACCAAGTTGAAAAAAGTCGAACATTCCATTTTCAAAGTGCTGACTAAGTTCAGCACGAAATCCAATCAGCACCTGCAAGTTATCCAATGATATTTAAAACTACAAAAGCCTATGTTACACAAGGCTCTATACAGGGAAAATCACCATCGTGCGCTTGACAAAAACAACTTACAAAACTGTCATACTTTTTTTATCAAGTTATCCATATTGGGCCTTTTAGTTTTGAAAATAATTTCAACTGGATTCAAGTTTTCTATGCCTCTTCTGTTAGATTAGCCTATATGACTTAATTGGATGCAGTCGCAAATGAAACGAAAGTCAATGTCTACCTTATACTCGTAATCATGTTTTAGTTTGGTACAGGAATGGATAGATAAATAAATAAATAATGCTTATATCTTTTTGTGAAAGAGTGTTTTAATTTGTTCCATATAAGGTCTGCAAACATCTGTTTAAAATCTGTTAGTTGGGGACGCTAGTTTGGTGCACAAACAGCAACACCCCGCCCCTACATTATCGATGCTGATAGTGGCGGGTTTAATTATGGTCTACCCTACGAGAACTGACCCGCTTACCGTGGTCAACGTTGACCGTTGGCTTCGCGACTGTCAGACCGTTGGTCTGGCGAAATATTAAACGTTGGATATGTTGGTTCGGCAATTCTTCTGGACGTTGGGCCATCAACGTTGGATTAACAAAAAACAAGTTGGCGCAACATTATTTCGCCAACTTTAGGCGACGTATCCCCCCATCCTGCCAACTACGCTCATACATACGACGCATTGTAACGTCGGCCCGACCAATTTTTGACGTTTGGCCAACGTCGAATACATGCAACTGTTTCGTCTGAACAATGTTGACAGCCGACGTCAAATATTACTAATAACTTCTGAACAACAACGTTGGCAAATCAACCTCATAATAGTATACGAACCGATCGTCAACGATGGCATATTATAATAGCAGGCCGACGTCGAAAATTAGGCCTACAGACTTTTTACTAACTATATTGAACAACGTTGGCAGGCCAACCTCAAAATACAAACTGATCGTCAGTGTCGGCACAATTAACGTACGTTGGAAGGCTGTCCTCGAAACTGTTTACCGTCGTCACCGGCAGCTGTCGGCCGGCCAGCGTCATTACCGATCACCAAGTGTTAGCCAGAACGGGCAGGCCAGGCCGACGTCAGCAAAATGTTTGCATGCGACGTCTTTAATTAACGTAAGTACAACGTTGGCAGGCCGACATTAAAACATATATACACCCGACCGATCGTCGACATCAAAATATATACACACCCGACAGATCGTCAAAGTCGGCAATAATATACCGCGGAACTAAAAACAGATCAGGGGCGTCAATCGCTTCTTAAAAGTTGGGGATATACCATGATCAGAACTAATGCGAGCGCGAAGCGCGAAGCCCCTACAGCGTGGGGGGGGGGGGGTTCGGGGCCAAGTGCCGCGAAAAATTTGATTCTAGACACTCTCCGTGGTGCGATCTGAGGCAATTTCTGACCACTTTTTTTTTTTTTTTGCAAAAGACAATCATTTAAACCACATTTTCGAGGTTGAAGTCATTGAATCAGCTATATTCTGAGCTATAGACGTGGGGTTCTGGGCAGGCGCTTAAGAGGGCCCTGTAGGTCCTGAAATCCCTGGAAAACTGTTTTGGGTCGTTTACTTATCCTAATTCGAACATCTTGTTCAAAAGAAACCAACCTAATGTCTTACCGTTAGCGAGAAAAGACGATAAAACCCCGGGTGTTTACAGCGCACCCTACGGAGTACACTCTAAAAAAACATTAGTCAGTTTCGACTAGAAACCAGTGAAATTCGACTAGCTATTCAGGGTCAGCTGGGTGCAACTGAAAATCAGGCAATCTGACTAGATATTTCCAGTCAGTATTAATATGGGGAAAAATAGTTATGCAAATAACTGAATTTGGAGTCGAACCCAACTACTTTTCAGTATGAAACTTTGCATGTTTAATTAAATTCCTACAGTCAATTTTCAATAACTAGGAAAACCAGTCAATATTTTGACTAAGTAGTTTTAAGAGTGTAAAAATACACATTTCCTGTCGCTTGGTCAATGTACTTTGTACGATACATGTTGTGTGTGTCAATACAGCACCGTGCTCGCGAGCAGTGACCAATCACCAATGCTCAAAATGAGGGTTCTACGGTCTGCAAAAGGCGAACACTTGTTTCAAACATTTGATATTGTAAGTGGGGGATTGACGCCCATGATGCAGACTGTTGGCGTACCATTCCGATTGTAAGTTTACACAACGTTGGCAGGCCGGGAAAAAAAGTCGTCGATTATACACTTTTTACCAACGACAGAACAACGATGTCGGGTCGACTTTAATGGACCGCCAGCGTCGGCATATCCGCATACGTCTGCAAGCCGACTGCGACTGTTCCAACATTGACCGATGTTGGGCCAACGTATATTCACCTGACGTTGGTTAACATATTAAAGTATGGCATATTCGACATCGGTCCCTTTGAAACTAATCTGAGTATCACCCGTTATCCACGGAGCCAAATCCTGTACAACGTCTGACATCTCCTGACATTTAAATTTATGCAAGCCGTGCGCCAGCCAATCGGAGTCAACTTTACTAAATCGTGACGTCATTTCATTCCTAAATCAGGACTAAACGATTTGATTGGTCAATTCGAATGCAGTGTTTTGTAATGCAACAACTGCCGGGCACGATATCGCGTATTACTATACCTCATACATATTCATGATTGAGAGCCGAACTCTCACTGGTCAATTCATCAACACGTGCCAGATGTTATTTTTTGCTGTTTACCAAGTGCGCGCGAGGATTCACGCACAGGGTAAATGCGCATGCGTAGTAGACCGTCGCACGGGTTCGCTCGTACCCCCACCCTGCAAACAGGACGCCTCACAGAATCTTGTGAAGGAATTGGCCTATATATGACATATGTATCAAGCATCTGGCGGCAGCTGTTCAAAACCGCAGTTAGACAATGTGCGAAAATATTATCCGAAAACTACCCATAGAAATGCACACGTTCCATACCGGATGTGATTTCTGTTTCATTGCGGACCATGTGGACACAATTTTGAGCGTCGATTATTCGCTCGTACCCCCTGCCCTGAAAACAGGGCGCTGGGAAGGGCAGATGAGCTTCACAGAATGTTGTGAGGGAAGTGGGGATGGCATTCTGGGTAATTTATCATGACCTATGTATAAAGCATGTTTTGAGCGTCGAATGATATGCATTTCGATCCTTCGTACGTGAATTCGAAACGGAGCCTGATTTGAGCAACTGACGGGAGTTGAAAATTTACAAAACAGATACGTTTTACAGATTTTCCTACATTATACTACAACGGAAGATTGAGGGTTCGAGTCCCTTCGTGGTCGCCAAATGTTACCCCCCCCCCCAACGGCCACGGGAGCAGCCGCTGCAGAGTGTTCATTAAAAAGACTGCAAAACTGCAAGAATAAAGACAAATGGACACTGGTTTAGCTTGGTGTGTGGTAAATGTTCCTGACTCATCGAAGTCTTAAATCAGAATCACAACACAATAGTAAAAACAAATGCAAAAAATAACTCAATAAGGCCAACAAAAAAAGTCTCCGGTTTCTGGTATGGAGCTTGCCCAAAAAGTGGTGCGGCGACGCGGCTTTCTTTTTTTTTAACCTGACTTTTTTGCTTCAAATGTCGGCTGATGACTTCAAATGGTGCCCGAGTCCAGAGAGGCCACACAATGCTTATTCTCGATCATAACCCCATCTAAAATCACGTTTAAAGTGTGCAGCAGCAGGATTCCAGTCAAACCAGTGAGTTTGGCGGTTTTGAGACATCATCTTTCGTTGAAAAAAAAACTTTTTCATTTTGCCGACGCGCATGGCTACGGCGACGCGCGCGCATACCAGAAACCGGAGACTTTTTTTTTGGCCTAAGCATGATTCGAAAATCGACTCTGGTATCGATAATAATATCGATTCTGTCCTGTTTCTGAATAAACATAATCGATTCTATCACCTAAATCGATACTGACCATGTCTCAACCTCACTGTTTATCTCTAGTCCAGGACTGACTCACTACTAATTGTTATGCATGAGTGCTTCCCATGCTGTGCTCTAACTATCAAAGAACTCATGCACATGTACAATACATACATGTCATCTAGCAGTACAAAATGTCCTGAAGTACATGTATGGAATAAGCCAAAAAAGGGTAAAGTCTATCAGGCCAAAAAAAAGTCTCCGGTTTCTGGTATGGAGCTTGCCCAAAAAGTGGTGCGGCGACGCGGATTTATTATTTTTTTTACCTGTTTTTTTTTTTTGGCTTCAAATGTCGGCTGATGACGGCAAATGGTGCCCGACTAAACTTAGAGTGCAAATATATGGGTGTCCAGAGAGGCCACATAAAGCTTATTCTCGATCATAACCCCATCTAAAAACAATCCAGAAATTAACAATGACTACACATAATTAGCAGGCAAAACAGGAAACATTTATGAAGGCAAAATTGAGTAAAGGCTAAAG